GGGGATAGGGGAGTGGCAGCTCGTCCTGATACTCTCTTTATATTAACAGTTTATCCTGGTAGAATGCAATTAAAAGCAAAATTATTTTTAAATGAATGACTGTGTATTATATTATAGGATAATCTAGTACCCTTAAAAGCATTCACCCATTATAATTGAGGTTGCTTCTGGGAAAAGGAAATGGGGACAGTGGTGGGAAGGAGATGGAGTTGTCATTGTGTACCCACTTTGGTAACTTTTGGCTTTTGTGCCACGTGTGTGTTATATAGTCATGCATAGCTTAGCAAACAGGATATGTTCTGAGAAATGTGTCATTAGGTGATTTGGTCGTTGTGTACATGTAATAACTTGTACTTACACAAACCTGGATGGTACAGCCCGCTACACACCTAGGCTATATGGTGTAGCCTGTTGCTCCTAGGCTACAAACTTGTGCAGCATGTTACCGTTTCAAATACTGTAGGCCATTGTAACACAATGCTAAGTATTTGTTTGTCTAAATGTATCTAAACATATAAAAGGTACATGGTTTTATAATCTTCGGGACCACTGTTGTACATGTGTTCATTGTTGACCAATGTGCTTATGCAGTACATGACTGCACATTTTTTTAAAAAAAAGAAAAGTAAAAGAAAAAAGAAATTCCCCTCTGAGTACTCCCATCTTCTGACAAGAACGTGGGCTCTTCCAAGGGTGGGAGCTTCTGTGATTTCCTGTGGCTCCCCCACAACCTTTCCCTACCACCTACCCTCCACCCCCAGTTTCTTTTGCTATTGAGGAGAATGGTTCTGAATTCATTGACTTTTCTTCCTCATCTTTTTGTAATTCCTACCTCTTTCATAGAAGTCACCGAAGATTTCATACTTTGAAATGCAGTAACCTCTTTTTAAACCCTGTTCGACCTTTCTGGATCATTTGAGACTTCTAATCTTTCTTCCCAGCCTCTCTGACACCATCTCCTGGTTTAATTTAAGCTCCCTTCCTCCACCTTCATGAGCATCTTTCCTGTGATTCCACCTTTATCCATTCTGCATGCGCTCCCTGAGCAATCTCATTTACTCTTGATGAGATCGTCTGTGTCAGTAGATGTGACTTCTCTCTGGAGTTCTGAACCTGCATGCTTACTGGCCCACTTGCCATTCCATGAGCATCTCAAAATCAAAATATCTTAATCTGAACTTATTGTCTATTCCTTTGCCATCTAAATCCCCACTTTTACTCGCTTGCTATATTTTAGTAGTTAGCAGCAGCCATGCCAGAAACCTGGGACTCATCCTGATTTTCTTCCTCTACTTAACAAGGTTTTGGAATTATGGCCATCCTTGCTGTAACATGCACGTGTTGGCGTTGTTTCCATCACATCCTTTCATTTTACAAATAAACTACTAAGTTGGGCAGCATCATTCCAGTTGGACTGAGAGATATTTCATGCATATAAATGCTCCGTCCTAGTTAAAAGTAGAAGACAAATAATTGCAATTATTCCTCTGCACTGACAATTTTATATTTATGTGTCCATAGAAACCTCATTTTAGAGGCATTTCTACCTTTGAGACTTGGGTTCGTTTGTTAGATTCGAAACTAAATTAGCAATTATATAACTTCAGAGAATTTGTGATATATTATTTTAGCACTCATATTTTGCTTAGCTTTCTAGTCAATCAGTTAAAACAGTACCTTTTGTAAATTAGAATCACAGGCATACCTCTTTTTATTGTACTTCGTGGATATTGCATTTTTTACAGATTGAAGGTTTGCGGCAACCGCGTGTCGACTAGCCAGTTAGCACCGTTTTTCCAACAGTACGTGCTCACTTCACATTTTGGTGTCACATTTTGGTAATTCTCACAATATTTCGAACTTTCTCATTATTATATCTGTTTTGGTGATCTGTCATCAGTGATCTTTGATATTAATATTGTAATTGTTTTGTGGCACCACAGACCATGTCGTATAAAATGGCAAACTTAAAACTGTAAGTGTTGTATGTTTTGACTGCTCCACTGACCTGCCATTCTCCCACCCCTCTCCCTCTCCTTGGGCCTCCCTAATCTCTGAGACACAACAATATTGAAATGAGGCCAATTAATAACTCTACAGTGGCCTCTAAGCATATAAGTGAAAAGACTTGCACATCTCTTACTTCAAATCAAAAGGTAGAAGTGATTAATCTAGGTGAAGAAGACAGGTCAAAAGCCAAGACAGGCTGAAAGCTAGGCCTCTTCCACCAGTTAGCCAAGTTGTGAATGCAAAAGAAAAATTCTTAAGGAAATTCACAGTGTTACTCCAGCGAACACAGCAATGATAAGAAAGCAAAATAGCCTTATTGCTGATATTGGGAAAGTTTTAATGGTCAGGAAGGAGGATCAAACCAGACACAGCATTCCCGTAAGCCAGAGCCTAATCCGGAGCAAGGCCCTAAGTCTCTTCAATTCTACGAAGGCTGAGAGAGGTGAAGAAGCTGCAGAAAGCTAGCAGAGGTTGATTCACGAGGCTTAAGGAAAGAAAACATCTCTATAATGTAAAAGTGCAAGGCGAAGCAACAAGTTATCCAGAAGATCTAGCTAAGATCATTGATGAAGGTGGCTACACCAAGTAGGAGATTTTCGATGGAGACAAAACAGCCTTCTATTGGAAGAAGGAGCTAGGACTTTTCATAGCTAAGAGAGAAGTCAATGCCTCTCTTCAAAGCTTCAGAGGCCAGGCTGACGATCTTGTTAGCAGCTAATGCAGCTGGTGACTTTACCATTGCTCATTGACCATTCTGAAAATCCTAGGACCTTTAAGAATTATGCTAATTACTCTATCTGTATGCTGTAAGTGGAATAATAAAGCCTAGGTGATAGCACATCTGTATAGCTTGGTTTACTGAATATCTTAAGCCCACTGTTGAGAAGTGTACTGCTCAGGAAAGATTCTTTTCAAAATATGACTGTTCATTGACAATGTACCTGGTCACCAAAGTGCTCTGATGGAGATAAACAAGGAGATTAATGTTTTCATGTGTGCTAACACAATGTTCATTCTGTAGCCCATCCATCAAGGAGCAATTTTGACTTTCAAGTCTTATTATTTAAGAAATACATTTCTTAAGGCTATAGCTACCCATAGATAGTGATTCCTCTGATGGATCTGAGCAAAGTTAATTGAAAACCTGGAGAGGACTCATCATTCTGGATGCCATTAAGAACCTTTGTGATTCATGGGGGGAGTTCAAAATATCAATGTTAACAGGAGTTTGTGAGATGTTGAGTCTGACCCTCATGGATGACTTTGAGGGGTTCAAGACTTCTATGGAGGAAGTAACTGCAGATGTGGTGGAAATAGCAAGAGAACTAGAATTAGAAGTGGAGCCTGAAGATGTGACTGAATTACTGCAATCTCATGGTAAAACTTGAACAAATGAGCAGTTGCTTCTTATGAGCAAAGAAAGTGTTTTTCTTGAGAAAAAATCTATTCTGGGTGAAGATGCTGTGAACATTGTTGAAATGACAACCAAAGATTGAGAATAGTACATAAACTTAGTTGATAAAGCAGCAGCAGGTTGAGAGGATTGACTCCAATTTTGAAAGAACTTTTACTGTCAGTAGAATGATGTCAAACAGCATTGCGTGCTACAGAGAAATCTTTCGTGAAAGAAAGAGTCAGTCGATGTGGCAAACTTCACCGTTACCTTATTCGATTGACGCAGCCACTCCAGCCTTCAGCAGCCACCACCCTGATCAGCCGCCATCAACAGCTAGGCAAAGCCCACCCTCAACAAAAAGACGACAACTTGCTGAAGGCTCAGATGATTGTTACCATTTTATTTTAGCAATAAAGTATTTTTAATTAAGGTACGTATATAGGTTTTTAGACCTCATGCTATTATTACACACCTAATAGACTACTGTATAGTGTACACATAACTATTATATGCACTGGGATGCTAGAAAATGCATGACTCACTTTATTGTGATTTCTGCTTTATTGTGGTGGCCTAGAACCGAGCCTGTCATATTTCTGAGCTATGCCTATATCTCAGTATCCATGGGGAATTGGTTCTCGGACTCCCCCCTGCACCGCCCCCGCCACCCCTTACCCCTGCAGATATCAAAATCCAAGGATGCTCAAGTCTCTTTTATAAAATGGTGTAGTATTTGCAGATAACCTATGTACATCTTCCTGTGTAGTTTAAAATTATCTCTAGGTGACTTATAATACCAAATATAATGTAAATGTTGTATGAATGGTTGTTATACTGTATTTTTTAAATTTGTGGGTTTTCTGTTCTGAATATTTTCTATTTGAGAATAATATTTTCTATTTGAATCTGCAGATGTGGAACCCATGGATATGGAGGGCTGATTATACTTTTAACATTGCTTTGTTTCTTATGTATTAAATATAGAGAATCAAATACCTACTAGATTAAAATAATTAAAATTTATTGTATATTTACATGACATCTTACATCTGTCATATTTAATTTAATTTACCCAATAACTTGATGTAGAGTAGAGAAACTAAGAATCAGAGATGTTATCTAATTTGCCCAGACACACTGTTGTGGCAGTTACTCCTTCCAGTGGCTCCTTCTGAAATTCTTTAGACATCAGTGTGAGTGTGACAGTAATCAGTAGAGGAATGGATTTGTGAGCATCTCCTTTGTATTGGGAGTTGGTTTCCACATGGTCAATGTTTTTTAGATATCAGTGGCCATGTGCGAGGGCAGATTTTTCAGTACTTCAGTGCCATTGCCCGAATTATCCATAGTCATGGTGATGTGGATGTAGGTAATAAAGGTGATTGCACTAAGACTTAAATGGAATTTCTATGTTGTAATTTTAATTAATGGAAGGTGATTTTAATGCAACCCTCCAAATATAGTTACCCATTCTTTGTTTACTGTGTTAACAGTAATCTCTCTGCTGCTTTGAATTTTTGTGGCGGTTGGTCATCTGAAAAATGGTCAGTAATTCATATCCTCTCTCTGCTTCCTTCCCTTTCTCTCTTTTCAGTGCAATGAAACCTCATTCTTTTTTGAAGCTCGAAGTAAAACTGCTTGCAAGCATCTCTGGAAGTGCAGTGTAGAACATCATACATTTTTTAGGTACGTTAATGTGAAAGTTTTGTTCATTGTCCTAATAAATGAAACTGGCATTTGTTTTTATAACAATTCTTTCTACAAATAGAAATTTAGAAGTGTTTCCCTTGTATTAGCTTTTTTCAGCTTCTAATTCTCTGGATTGTATTAATATAAACATACACACACACACACACACACACGGGAAATTATCTTGAGAATTTTGTCACTATGTTGATTTACTCCTGTTCAGGTTTTCATGACAGTTAATCATATCAGATGTGGTAATTCACTCTTACTTATATATTATACTGCAGATCTTCCCAGTTTAGGGTATTTTCAACAGACACCACTATGGGGAGTTCTATATGTGTGTATCTACATACACACATAAACACGTACATACAGATAAATCTTGTTTGTTCATACTATAAGAAAAGATCAGGGATAATTTTTTTTTGTTTATGTAAAAAGTGCAGCTTCGGCTAGCACCCATGTGGGATTGGTAGAAATTATTCTGCTGTGCGCATACTAAATTTGAAATGTCTGTTAGCCATCTAAGTGGAGATATAGTAAGGCAGTTGAGTGTACAAGGCTGACTGGAAAGACCAACGTTGATGATGTAACTTTAGTAGATACTTAAGACAGAAGGGGCCAGATGAGGTCACCTATGGAAAAAGTGAAGAGAGAAGCAGAAAGCTTTGGGGCCTTCCCCACATTAGAGGACAGGAACAGCCAACTGAGGAGTGTGAGAAGTAGTAACCAGGAGAGTAGATTGTGTCCTGGGAAAGGAGGGAGGAGAATGTCTTGAGGAACATGGCGCCAACAGCTGCATGCAGTGCTCTTGGGAGGTTAAATAAGATGAGGATAGAGAAATTGACCACTGCATTGTGGTGATACTTTTCTTTGTTTCATATCCTTAGTTGTAAAGATAAAATATTAGCAGATAATACATTAAACTTTATTATTATTTTTAAAATTCATACAAGATTGAGTTCTTCCCCTTATTTCTATTTGATTTGCATGGAGCAATTTCTCTGAATAGCATGATGTTAGAGAAATTATTCTTTTAAAATGACCAGTATCCTTAATATAGTTTGGATTAGGGGAGGGATGTGGCCCAGAGAGCCTAAAACATTGCCTCCAGCTCAGTGGGGCTGGGCTGAGTAGCTCCCTGTGGCAGTATCTGTTGAAAGTACCCTAAAACAGGAAGTACTGGAATTTAATGTATAAATAAGAGTGAGTTACCACATCTGATATGATTAACTGTTCTGAAAAGCTGGATGGGAGTAAATCAACATAGTGACAAAATTCCCAAGATAATTTATGCAGAGAAAGTAAGTTGATTGAGGACTAAAGCTTCCTAGGGCAAGATGTATGCAATAGTCTTCAAAAATATGAGTATTTGATATTATATGTATATAAAATTCTAGAGTATGATTATGTTTCAAATATTAGCTTAAACGAATCATTTCCAGTGGAAGAAATAAAATATTTTGACTAGCTCTGTAAAACACTGTTGCACTATTACTTTTTCTATATAGCTTTATGAGCAAATGTTGTCTAAATATCTATGTTTATGAGTCTTTATCTTATTTTCTTTTCAAAATTAATTAGAATGCCAGAAAATGAATCAAATTCATTGTCAAGAAAACTCAGCAAGTTTGGATCCATAAGTTATAAGCACCGGTACAGGTAATTGCCATTTTTTCCTTGGGATGTGTGAGTGTAAATAAGTAATTCATTTGTTCACCTACAAGCATGATGAAGTTTATGATTTAATTTTTTTCTTTTTTTCCTGACAGTGCCAATGTTTTTTGTAATCATAACGGTTTATTAAAACTTTATTAACAAAAATGATTTTTCAGATTTATTTACATTTAATGTCCGCATTAGCTGTTTTAAGTTTGGGGCTTTTAGTATGCAGTGGACTTATTATCCTCAGAAATTCATTTTGATTATCACTTATTTCTAATTAGGTTCTGTGATTATGAAACAACATAGATACTCTGAATAGTAACTGTGTTCTTAGGACATTCAGTTGATCCCCTATTTTAACACAGTGTACACTTTATGCCATGCATGGAACCATGTTTTTTCTGCAACATGTTTCTCTGCAACTGCATATAGTAACGCAAACTATTATATCTCAATTTTATTGAGCAGTTACTGTCACGTGTTCTGTTAAATGTTTTCATTTATTGCTTCATTTAATTATCACGATCTTTCTGTAATATGCTTATTAAAATTTGAGGAAACTAAGGCTCAGAGAGGACAAGTAATTTCCTAAGGTAACCCAGCCAGGAAGCAGTGCAGTGAGATCTGCATCCTGGTGGTCTAACTCCAGAGCTCACGTTTTTAGCCGTTAGGCACACTGTTAGCTTGTTGTGGAAAAGCCTGATCATCGTGCAGCCAGGTCAGTGCTTGGGTCTTTTTCTAATACCAGCATTAAAAATGGAAGTGCTGTTTTTCGCAGCAACTTGGATGGAACTGGAGACCATTATTCTAAATGAAGTTTCTCAGGAATGGAAAACAAACACTGTATGTTCTCACTAATAAGTGAGAGCTAAATGATGGGTATAAATGGGCATAAAGGGATGTATGGGACACTGGAAACCAAGAAGGGGGAGGTTAGGGATAAAATCTTACTGGTTGGGCACAGTGAACACTATTCTGGTGATGGGCACACTAAGGGCCCTGACTTAAGCATTATGCAAGGTATCCATGTCACAAAAACATTTGTACTCCCTTAATGTATTTTGAAATTAAAAAAAAAATTTAAAAATGAGAGTGGCTTCTATATTTTGAAAAAAAATTTGATTTGTTTCACTGTGTTCAGTGAGAAGGCCTGGTATTAGGTGAGGCATGGTATTAGATGCCCAAAGACACAAAGAACCAGATCTAACCACCTGTGCCTTCACAGAGCTACAGTGTTGTTCAGGCAGCAGGGCAGGTCCCCAGGCCTTTTAGAGCCCAGACAGGGTGTAGAAATGCCACCTAGGGGATGGAACACTGTTCTGTTAGTTCCACTGGAAATGTCACTGAATGAAATGCTTCCTTAGGAGACATAAAAATATAGCCAAGGCAAGCTTTTGCAAGATAGTCGTACTGTATGCCAGATTTTAATTCTTCTCTTTTATAACCCACTTTTTGGATCTTGAAGTTGAGATCAAAGATAATAAAGGAGAGATCAATATCAAATATTCAGTGCATTCATCTTCACATGTTATTCACTTGGATATCTGCCCATTTGATGACTAAAAAGAAAACTTAAGTGTTATTGTACTATGGATGTTCTTGATGTTTATATGAAGGTATCCATCAATATCTAAATATTTACCTTCGGATTTCTAAGGTTCTTCCATGCATGGTGATACAATTATGATGAATTTAAGGAAAAGTTATTTACTTTTTTTTTTTGAGACAGAGTCTCGCTTTGTTCCTCGGGCTAGAGTGAGTGCTGTGGCGTCAGCCTAGCTCACAGCAACCTCAAACCCCCGGGCTCAAGCAATCCCTCTGCCTCAGCCTCCTGAGTAGCTGGGACTACAGGCATGTGCCACCATGCTCGACTAATTTTTTCTCTCTATATATATTTTTAGTTGTCCAGATTATTTCTTTCTATTTTTTAGTAGAGACGGGGTCTCGCTGTTGCTCAGGCTGGTCTCGAACTCCTGACCTTGAGAGGTCCACCCTCCTCGGCCTCCCAGAGTGCTAGGATTATAGGCGTGAGCCACCGCGCCTGGCCAAAGTTATTTACTTTTATATTGAGAAGAACAGCTAATAGCCAATGTTTGAGCTATGCTAGTTGCGGCATAGAACATCGCAAAGGTTCAGAGAGAATGTATAAATCTATTTCCTTGTCACCGAAACGGTGCTGGTGAAAAGGCATCTGTCTTAACATTCATATTATTAAAATTGTAATTATCCTGTTTAACATAATGCTGTAGAGTTGGCTTCCACAAATTTAGCCATACCTGATTTCTCAAATTTATTGAAATGCAAATGTGGCTACTGGGAATTGTTATTAGAAAGCTATTGGATTTTGCATATTAAATATCATTTCTTACAAGAAAGTAATTAAAAGTAACCTTTGCAGAATTGGAGGCTCTGCTAAATCTGTTCTAATTTCTTGGCTGATGTTAACTGCCTAGTAAATCTTAATGAATCCTAAATCTACTTGTCTGTATGTAGGAAGCACTAACAATTCATCCCACTGTCCAGAGCTTAGGCAGGGATGGGTCTCTGATTGCTGGGTGGTCATTAACACATACAGTGTTTATTGTCAAAAGAGGGCAAACAATCAGCCTTTATATTATATTATATAATATTATATATTATTTTTTTATTATATATTATATCAGCATATTCCAGGAGATACCATGGAATGAAAGCAGAGCTATAGAAACATGGACAGCCCCCTCCTTCCCCCTGCAGTCTTTTAGAGCGTGGAGTATAAAGAACAGCCTAACAAGTGGCTGCAACATGTGAATGTGGGAGTCTGGGTGTATTTGTGAAGATCATTGTGCATGTGTTTATAGTGGTGTATGAGTGTTGTTATGGGTGTGCATGTGCATGTAAGTGATGGAGGAAGACAGAGTTCTAGTCTTTACTCTCCTGGATTTTAGGGCTTGCAAAATACCAAAGAGATTCCTACACCTTTTGAAAAAAGTGATTACATAAGGAAAAAAATTAGACTTTTTTAGTGATATAGGACTATCAAGATTCAAAATTAAATTTGTGAGGAAAGGCTGAGCTGAAATCTGATATTGTAATTCTTTTGTTATTTTATTGCTGGAGATCAATAATTGAAATAGAAATTAAATATATGAATATTTTATCATACTTTGATATCTTCTTCTCTGAGTCTCTTAAAAATTAACCTTGTCTCTACCTGTTGTTAAGTTTGTGGGAGACTCCTGGTTTTGATTAATGAAGGAATTGTAAAGAATTTACACTCCAGAAATGAGAGATACCTGAGAATCCCGCCCCCTGGGAATCCCAATATCCTCCTTGTAGGACTTAAAGCTCAGGAGCTGTCATGGGGTTTGATACTTCATGAAGCATGGGAGAGAGACCATGTTCTCACGAGAACCTCCTTTGTGTCAGGTGCTTTCATGTGTGCAGCTTTGTTTAATTTACATAGTGACCCACCAAAGGAGGTATCATATCCCCATTTATACAGATGAGAAATTGGAGCCCCCCCAAAATAAAGTAAGGACCTTTAATCAGTAAGTGGCAAAGCTGGGATTTGAACCTGGCTGTCTCTACCTCACTTTGAGGCTGAAGGGCTCCTGGCCGTGACACTGAGCAGAGAAGTTGGGGAGAGTGTGCCAGAGTGTGAGGAGGCAGGGAAGTGGGTGATCATGGAAATGAAGCTCCGTCCTCTCACAACAGAGAGCCACCAGACATGCGTAGCTTATGCTGTAAATCCCTATACTTGTCAATCACTTTCTGTTACAAGGAAATAAAAGCTTTCACAGAAGAATGTGAAAGGTGAATTTTACTTTATAAATCTTATTTAATCTCTTTTGGGGAGACATTCACCAGTATTCTGTAAATATGAATAGCATTTGGGGCCATTAAAAGGCTGTTTTCCTCCCCATAGATAGCTCTACTTGTGGTGATCAAACTGGACATATAGAAATGCATTTTTTCTGTATCTAAATGATATTTTCCTACATGAAAGCAAGGGTCATTCACTGGCTCAAATTCAGCAGTTGTGGAGTAAATTTTTAGTAAGATGAATGTTCAGTGAAATCTAGCAAATAAAATTACATGATTCCTTGGGAAAATTACTTGAGAAGGTAAATCCAACTCCAGGGGAAGCTGGCCCTCTTGAATCTTCACGGAATCTTTGGAGAAGTGGCACTTTGTCGCTTTGTGTGGGGTTCTAGGCCTGCCTTCAATCTTCCCGGGCACTTGATCCGGCACAGATGAGGTGGGCATGGTAAATGGCTGATGGTGCCATGGCAGGGTTCCGAATAAGACCATATCGCGTGGTCCTGTGGGGGGTTGCTTTACAGCTTGCCGTGTAAGTACAACACAGAGACAGTCATGTGAAATCATTACCCTTGCATGATTTAGCCCGATGTAATTTCTTTATCATTTAGTTGTAGAGCTCAAAGACTATCAGGAACCTTTAGTTCCAGCCCATCATTCTACTTAAATCTAAATCTAACTCCTCCTTTAATAAACTTTCTTCTTGTTTCTTCTTCTAAAAGATAGTCTATCTAACGTAAATCCCCTGCTAGAATTTAATACTGCTTCTTTGGTCAATATTGCAGTGAGAATCGTTTGAAAACCCCTGTGTGCTTATGGTCAATTGAGTCTGTGATTTTCTTCTTTCCATACTTAGCATATGTTCCCAATGAGCTGTTTAATTTTGTGGCCATGTAGTTTTTACCATTTTGCTAATCATAATGTTGCTTTTTCAAGTGGTAGGACAGCTTTGCAAATGAGCCGAGATCTTTCTATTCAACTTCCCCGGCCTGATCAGAATGTGGCAAGAAGTCGAAGCAAGACTTACCCTAAGAGAATAGCACAAACACAGCCAGCTGGTGAGTCATGGTGCCCCCAAGCCATCTAGTAACCTTGCAGTTTTCTTTTAGGGTGGTGGTATAAGTTATGCTCAGCTGGTGACTATAGCCATGCAGTCCTTTTATTGTTAATACTGGAAATTTTAATTTGACCTAGGAAATGTTCCAACAGTCAGTCATTATTAAGTAGACAAGTAGTAGTCCACTTGAATCACCATGACCTGCTTAATGGCTGTACTTTCTTTTTGAAGGGGTTTTATTTGAAATAATGTCCCAAGTGAATAATTTCTTAGTTTGGTATATCTGAGATTGAAATTGAAAAAAACTCCTAACTAACAAAAGTCTTAAAAAACAAACAAACAAAAAACTGTTGACGTAATTTGTACAGAGACCAATTGGTTTTCTGGTTATTGTTGGTTTTTTATTATGAAACATACTGTGCAATAGGAAGTACAGAATATATATGGGCATACACATATATATGCACCCACGTGCTTGCACGGGAAGCATCCTCAAAAGTCCCTCGTGGGCCTTCCTCTGATCACATTCTCACCATCTCATCCCCCCAGTCAGAGGAAACCCCTGTCTGCCTTTGTATTAATTATTTTCTTTTCACTGTAATTTTACTACTTATGTAGCATTCCTTGAACAAAGTAGTTTATTTTGTCTATTTTTAACATTATATCAATGAATCCTGGTATGTAGGCTTTTGTGTCTTGGTTTTTCCTGTGAACATTATGTGGAGCGTGTACTAAAGTGAGTATTCTAGTGCTTGACAATTTAATCCATTTACTGTTGGTAGACATTTGGGTTATTCTGATTCTTTGTTTTGAATGCAGACTGTTTCTTTAATAAAGCCACCCAATCAGTTTTAATTCAAGTTCAGTGCTCAAAGCTCACAGAATTTTATTGTAAAGTGGTATTGCTGGCTTTGGTGTGGGGCTTGCTTATAGATCACCCTTATCTAACACTCTCCAGAGCCCTTTCACGTTTGTTATCTCCTTTGAGCCCCTCAATAACCCTGTGAGGTATGGCACAAGAGAGTATGTTCCCATTTTACAGATGAAGAAGATGTGGTTCCAGTGGTCATACAGAGGTGAGACTGGGACAGGAGCCCAGGTCTCCTGGATCGTTCTGCCATATTGTATAAAGTGAATGGAATTTTTAATAATAATAATACTAACTGAGCACTGTGTGAAAATTGACATAGCATTGTGACATCATTATTTCATGCCGAGCCTACGAAGAAGGTGTATGGGTTTGTTTCACCATTCCTGGTGTGAGAATGTCCCACGTTACTTGTTTCTAAAGTCAAATCTGACTCTACGTCCCCTCTTCTCAGTGGGCTGGGAAGAAATTAAATTCCTTCTTATGATTCTACAGTAGCAAAAATAAAACATTTAACACTGCAGTTGCTTACCTTGACATATCATTATTATCTTTACCCACATTTGGCTGATAAGGAAACTTAAATTTAAAGGGCAGTTTGGCTAAGATTACTGTGGAGTAAGTTCACTGTGCACTAGTTTCCAACTTGTTTGAGTCCAGTGGGAGATAACACATCCATGTGCAACAAGTTACATGAAGTAGACATGTAATATTACTTACAGATTGGCAGCAAGGACAACAGAAGCCTAGGACCCATTGTAAGCTGGTCCCCCAAGGCTTAAGAAAGCTGCCTGAGGCAGATAGAGTCTCCAGCCCCACTTGCACTACAGCTGAGAGCTCCAAGAGGCAGCCTGCTCTGGGTTAAATACTTCAGGGGCTCACCATGCTAAAGCTTTGAAGAATGCCCTGATTTCAGAGGGGAGAGGAATAAAGCCCAGGCTGTCCTGGGTGGTTCTTCCTAACTCAAGATGTTATCCTGGAAGGGACAGGAACAAAGCCTGGGCTGTTCTGTGAAGCTCTCCCTATCTCAGGATGTTCTATGCCCAGAACATTCTACAGTTATTCTTGAGAACTACAGGCAAGAAAAAGGGGGGTACTGGGGCGGTCCAAGTAGGTGGCTTAGGACAGATATTCTAGTCCTCTAATGCCTAGTCTTTAGGTTAATATTTTGTGTTTATATAAGCAGTCTTAAATCCCATTTGGATCAGCTACAGTGTGGTTATAATTAATAAGCAAACTTTCAAATCCTATGCTATTTCTGAGACACCATGCCTCATAAAATTATTCTGAGACCAACAGAGAATATCAAACGCATTCCTTGCTTCAAATCAACATTTTATTCCACTCGAGTTGCAGGAATCACACGTTCTTTGTACATACGTGTACAGGTTGCTCCTTTTCTTCTCCTGTGCGCTTAAGAAAATGTTTGCAAATATCTGCCTCTGTAGCATTTTTTTTTTTTTTGCTGTCCTTGGAAGCATAAATAGTGGAAGCAAATTAATTTAGGGGCAAGGGTTTTTGTTTTTGTCTTTCTCTTGGTTTGTGCAGATCCATCCAAATGCAGGTTTCACAGAGCAAATCTGTATTGAGCAGTCATGTCCATCCCAACCCACAACTGAGACCAGCCTCTCAGTTCCACTCTGCTCTGCCTTAGAGGATGTGGCAAAAACCCTCACGCCCCTAACCCCAAGAGCATGTCTGTTATGTTTAGTGTATTAGAAAAGACTCCTGGCCAGGCGCGGTGGCAGTGGCTCACGCCTATAATCCTAGCCCTTTGGGAGGCCAAGGCGGGAGGATTGCTTGAGACCAGGAGTTCGAGACCAGGCTGAGCAAGAATGAGACCCTGTCTTTACCAAAAATAGAAAAATTAGCCAGGCGTGGTGGTGTGCACCTGTAGTCTCAGCTACTCGGGAGGCTGAGACAGGAAGATCGCTTGAGGCCAGGAGTTTGAGGTTGTAGTGAGCTATGATGATGCCACTGCACTCCAGCCCAGGTGACAAAGTGAGACCCTGTCTCAAAAAACAAAAACAAAACAAAACCAGACTCCTCTTTCAGTAGAGGCTGAGGGTATGGATGGGCCAGGTGGCTAATGCCGAGCCCAGGCTTCACCGAGGACAATCTCCCAGCATCTGGTAGATCTTTTAAAAAAGTGGCATGTATTATGCTTTTATATATATAGTACATAGATAAAGATTATGAAAACAATAATTTTGAGTATTTACTGTTCTATTTTACAAACAGTAATCAGGTTATGTCCAGAATAATTATGTATTATGCTTTTATTATTTTATAATTTGTGCAGAATGTTAGAAGTACAATTTTGTCTCATCCATCATGTTGCAAACTCACTTTATGTACAACAATACCAAACAGTAATTAAATGGCATTGGTTGATGAATAATTTTACAAGGAC